CACCACTTAGCCTAAACGACCCATAAATCCCAAGTTCGAACATCGTTTTACATAATTTAAACTCCGGCGGATGTTATTTATTATTATTTGAACACAACTACTGGTACAAGGGGGCACCAGATACATATGCACTACACAGATCCCATTTTGATTTGTGTGAGGGCTGTGATACTGCCCGGGTGCACAACCTGAAGCAGGTGGTTTCCTTAGGGGGCCAATCCCGGCGAATATGACTAGCCATTATATATGTATGATTCTTCCCAAAGAATTATACAACTACAAAGAGGGTAATGAGTTTTACTGCAGTCAGGGGTCTATGATACCTAAACTCTCATTCGAAAAATTATCTTGCATCGTAACATGTTTCTAGATTCCATTGCTTCGTTAAGTCAGCGGCTATGGCAAACTGTCGATAGGACGGGCAACATCAAATGATGCTCACTTTTTTGCATTTTTATCTAACTCAGTCATAGACAAAACGCCTTTTTTATTCGACTTCCTATCAGTAGATTCACTGATCGTAGTTATATTTAGTGGAGACGCTTACAACGCTTGGTCTCCTGAATGTTTAGTAACAATATAAGCACGCTGGGGATGCGTTTTGTCCTGCTGTAAGACCGGTGTTAGTTAAACAGTAAGCTACAATGTAGGACCAGGCACATATGTGCATCGGTCCAAGATGCCATACCTCTTTAGCACAACAAGATGAACACCGAATTCATAGAAGTAGTTAGTTCAGTGGTGGCAATCAGTCAGTCATCAACAACGTAGAACTTCGTACTTACATACATCAGTTTGAGTTGCCATACCACAATATCACACAGATACAATTGTCCATTCAAATCCCGTAGTGGTAGATGTAGTCAAAGTATAAGCAGTAGTCGGAAACATTAGAGTATGAAGATGTTATTCAACGAGTATAATCCAGTGAGATAAATTTGGAAAGGGACATGAACAATTCAGAAGATTAGAATTTGGGAGAATACAAAGAGTGGATGCACCTGCGCTATTGTAAACGATTTTGAGTCATGTCACTTTCAAGGTCTCTAATCATCGGTGACTATCGTCTTATGTATTCTAACCAGGTAGTCTACACCTACCAACATGATTCAGCCCACTTGTCAGTGAGTGACTTCATGGATTTGTGTCATGTTTTGGTCTGGCCGCTCCTACCTTTCTTCCAACCTACTCCTACACCATGAAACATCGCACGCCGAAGCAGTCGGTGGTTGGGCATACGTAACACATGTCCCAGCCATCTCAACTGATGAAGTTTCACTACTTCGTCAATTGATTTGCCATCCTTACCTAGTACCCGTTTCCTAACAACTGCATTACTTGCTCAGTAGTCCTAGGATATATGAGCAATGCTTCGAAGACACCTATACACGAGTACTAGTAACCTACGAATATCCTTTACTCTTACCGGCCATGTTTCACTGCCATAAAGTAGGACGGAACGAACTAGTGTGCAGTAAACCCGTTCTTTGGTTGATAGACCTACGCCCTCTGTTTCCGTGCTTCGATTTCGTCACACCAGACCAAAGAGGTGGTAATATACAAAAGAAAGATTGCATACAAGGACATAGTACAGGAAGAAATAATTAGTTCGTAGAAAAAAATATGAAGCGATTTTAATCTCATAGTGTAAAGGAAGACAAAGAGTGTATACACCTATGCCATTGTGATCGATTCTGAGCCATGTCACACAAAGTCTCCAATCATTGGTTACGATGGTCACGCGGACCCCAACCAGGTAGTCTGCATCTATCAACATGGCTCGGACTAGCAGTTAATTATTTTAAGCACTGATGCCACGTTTTGGTTTGGCCGCCCCTAACTTCCACCCACGGATATCCGTCCTCGGCGGTAAGTTCTCAACAAGTACGAAAACTACCCACAAAAGGGTCGTGTGTGACCGACCTCAAGCAGTTGTCCCACGTATACTGCGGTCACGCTCTCAGGTTACTAAGACCACCTTTAATTCAATTTCCTTTTCAGGCATTTCCAGAAAAACCCTTCCACGGTGTGGGCAACGGGGAAGTGATAACCACCCTCATACCTCTAACAGCACTCAAAACTACTGTGTTAGTCGATGCCTAGTTTGCGTTAGTCGTCACTCCTAAACTTCTAATGCAACAGTGTATTTGTTCCTTTAGAATATGCACTTATGTTTGACTTTCTACATTCATTTCGCCTTATTACTGTGAAGTGAGATTTAACAACTTGGTTATGACTGTCTGAGATTCTATTAAGTGTTAGAGTTATTGCCTTTAAATAACTAATATGTTTTTAACAAAATGGATAACCGAAAATCGGGAATTGAATTCCAGTAGACCGGAGGATTAGTCTATATGAATCGAAAAAACTGATTAGACAATTAATGAACTCTTGCTCCGACATATATAAGGGATAAATTACATTAAATCCCCTGATCAACAAATTTTAAGACGTAGATTCGTACTATAATGTATGTTGCAGGGAACTGACTCGTGAGACATCAACAATATTTTTATTAACCTCTACTAATAATCCTTTCGGCTCTTCCTCTTAAGATATAGTCAGATGTAGAGTAGGACAGAAGTTGCTGTAATTCTTAATGGCAGGAACGTGTTATGAGACTGTCAATGACAGATGGTTTTCTGAGTACATCAACATCTTTAGAGCTCTGTGAAAATTCGCCAGACTGGAAACTAACAGTGAGGACAGAAAAAGTTATTTGATCGCACCGTTTCTATTCTCAAATTTATCTAGTCATTATTTAATTAATGATCTCATTTTGAAATAATGAATTCAAAGATTTATGCACGTTTTGTGTCTAACATTTCAACGGTTTCTATACTAAGTACCACATTCAGACGTCTGAACTGCGTGAAACAAGTGGGAATAATATACTTCCATAATGTTACACTGTGAGACGTAAGATAACTTATTAAACTTCTATTTACCAAGATATTTGAGTCCTAAAGATATGACTGATTGAATTGATAGCGTCATCGAATAGGATCCCAAATCAAAGTCAGTTGGAGTCCTACGGAGCATTTAATTAGTTTTCTATTTTAAAATCCATTTATAAGGACAATTAAAACTTCTTGAATACATCTAACTGTAGTCGTGTTCTCTCACTTTTTCTGGTAAGTCAGACTTCATTTCTCCTACTCTACATACGTTACACACCTTTTAAGATAGATTTTTTAGTGTCCATGTTTCAATAATTTTGCCAATTTTAATTATCTGTAGCATTTGAGAATCTGAATCTGTTATGATTCATATAGTGACATGCACCACAAAGCACTAAAATACAATGTCATTACTGTTAGAACATGTTGGAAATGCAAAGCGGTTCATTTATATACTATGAATTCATCGAAACACCAACTTATTTTACTCCTCCCCTAACACAGATCAATAAACCGAAAATATTATACTATAAAATGATCTGCTATGATTAGTAATTAGCTATTTTGCTAGAGATATGATATTATGTTCTTAGTGAAGCAGTGTCTTAATCGCCAAGATACCCCCAAATGTCCTGGTACGGCCGAGGGTGGGGAGAGTCAACTCTCCCTCTCTAAATGCTATCGCACGGCATGTGTATACAGCCACTCCTAGGAAAGTCCTACTCACTGCCTTCTCGCGGCAACGGTGTTGTTTATGGAATTAAGAGGATGAAAAGAAATTGTCCGGCTCTCTAAAAGAGATCGTGGATACGAAGAGTTCACCTATGGGAGTTGGAAAACCCTGATTTCAAACCAGTCGTGCACATGAACTCCAGAATCCTGAGAGAAAAAATGGCGTATGAACCGATTATTAATCACCCGCTAACATGTGACTGCATCTCATGACGTTGCTCCACTGCCTTATTGATCGGACCTTTAGGTCAGGGCTTCCGAGTGCGGCTTCCTAATAAAACCACTTATTTCGTTCTGGGCACCCGGGCAGTATCATAGCCTATACGGAAATCAAGTGACTTGTGTGGCGCATATGTATTCGGCACCCCTTTGTATCAATATTTGTGTCCAAATAAATAAATAATAAATAAATGTCTAACTCTCAGTTACCAAGCTTTAGGTGTAAAACCCTTCCCGCCAACTTTGGTTTGACCAAAAGAATAATACCACTAACCCTTACACTGAGAATGTGGCTCAAAGCCAAGCAAATGAATGTGTATCAGAATGAGTATCGATTGTGCTGTTACTATCTTAAAGCTAACTTTAGATGAATGGCCTAACAAAACACGTAACAATGAGAATGAAAGCAGGGTCATACAACATAAATTTTATTTGTTTTAGTAATAAAAGCAAAACAAAACCCAGAGGAGAGGAAATCCAGAAGTTATTTATTTGTTATAGCAGAACAATCTGTCGATATGTAAAAATGAATGCCAGTTGGCTCATCACCTGACAATAATTGCGCCTACTATTTGCCTAGGGAAACGATTCCTAACTTTCAACTACACGAATTTTATAGACTGGTAAAACATTCAGGTACAACTTATCCAACCGGTATGAAATTTATTATTGTTTTTAGCGGTTCGTATTTTCTCGTAATAAATGTAGATGGGCTTGCAAATATATGTCTACATAATTACCTAAAATACTGAATACAACGGCTGAGTTTTCACACTAAAACTATTAGAATAGCGGAGAAATAGAACAAATATGTAAAGATGAAGTCCGGATTATCTTACAGCCGAGTGTGGGTAAACAACCAGATAATCTCCCGAACTTTATATAAATATGACCTAGGATTTCCACACATCCGAATAGCACAGAGAAATCAAGTCAACTAGAAATGTGTCGGTTGACAGCGATATACGAAATATCATAAGTTTCACACAAAGTGTAACTTGAAACCAGAATCAATTATTTATGTTAACGTAGATTATAGGCAGCCCGTATCAAGACTTCTAGGGCTGAATACTTATATTTTTACAAATGATTGAGACCAATTATGACGAATCGCATTTTATTATAAGACAAAATGGGGATGGAACTTACTGTGATAGATGTAGGAGTATTAGCGTCCGCATGTTTGGTTGCTTCAATAAAATTATGCCAAGGTAGACGTGCCCTTATGTATGGAGACAGATGCAGAACTATGTATGCTAAGGCAAGGAAGATGACCAAGATTAGATATCCGTATAAACTGAAAAGCTGTCCTTCATCAGACGGTATCATCCCCCTGACCTTGAAAGACAATGTTTGGTCTTACCGCTATTCCGATAAATAGAAAAACAAACATATAAGTAAAAACATTGTAAGTGTATTTGTTTTGGAACTTCAACATTTTCGTATTTCAGTATAAAATGAAAAATGATGTGCCCTTATGTCGCTTTTTTAAAACGTGCTGGGCTTCAGGTTTCGAACGCACGATGTACAATATACATCTTCTCCACCTAGTCCCAAAATGTGACGAGCTAATATCCTAGCAGTCAGAGACTGTGATATTTCGACAGACTGGTCGGTTGATGCGGATAGATGGATTGAGGACTAATTGGATAAGTTAAATGCTACACTCGAGTCCGTAAGTTCACCGTTTATCCCATGGTCAACGAGTAAACTATTGCATTGCTCTCTATGGATCGATAAGAAAACCCAAAAGCTGTCGAGGCGTAAGAAACGCTACTGACACTTATTCTTGTCAACACGGCATGAGTCACTTTAGTATGAATACCTGAAAATCCGAAATGTTTTTAGAAAGACCGTAGCTAGATGCCGTACTATTTACGAACGAGAGTTGACATATGATATCCATGTTTTCCTGAAACGATTGTTTTCATATGTTGAACGGAAGAAACGTAGCGATGGTATTCCTTCTTTACTGTTACACGGAAATTCGAATTTACTGGCTGAGTCAGACCTGGCTAAAGCTGAGACTTTTCGAGCTATTTCAACGAAGTCTACTCCATATGCATAGATAAAAATACCTGTCCTAATCACACCACTGATACACCAACCATAGGACCTGTACATGTGAATGAGGAGACCGTTCCTCTATTAATAACTGACCTCAAACCTTGTAAGATACCGGTTCCTGATGCGTTACATACACGACCTCAATGAATTACTGCTATTTCACTTTGTATCTTTAAGTACGATTTGGTTGTTAAAACCTTTTTGCTCCCTCCGAGGTCATAGGGAGGTTCACAAACTGAAACCTAATAAACCTGAAATGAGGTTCCGTTTTTCTCATCAAATGGTCAGTGACTGAAGCACCACCATCGAAACCTTTCAAGGAGACGCTGGACCTTCACTGGAAAGCAAACTGTTAGGAATAGCACAGTTCCACAAACTTACTGTCCCTATAACTGAAGACTGAAGACGACTACACAGTTACTTTGAGGGTAGTCTGCCGTAAAAACGGTAAGGCGACAGATTTATTCAACAACAAGTTGATAGCTGTTTGTTTTGTGTTCAAACTTTGGGTAACCAAAACTAATTTCTAGACATTTCAGTCTTTAAGAATAGGGATAGGAGATAATACACAGTTTTATTTCTCTTAACAAATCAATTTATTGAACTTACAAATCAACAGGTGTTTCGATAAGAAGTACTAGTAGTTCACGATTGGGCTAGAGAAATGAATCTACACAAATCTACATTCTGAATCCTATTATGGTGTGACTTGAAATGAATTATCCTGGATAGAAAGGAAAGACATATTTCTACCAAAGTCAACATGCTGATAGTATGAACACATTTCTCAATATTTAAAGATTTCCACATTTAATAGACCAGGAATTTTTCCTAACTAATTAAACTTCACAATTTGGAGTCTTCACAGTATTTCAGGTCCCGAAGCAGCAGCTTCCGATTGAAAGGCATATTTCAAATGCTGATTAATGTCGAGTGCAATATCCGGAACTAAACTTCATCCGAATTCTGATACGTATTATGAAATATCCATTCTTGGACGAAGAGTTTCTTGATCAATCTGTTTACAGCTCGGCTAAGTCGCCCAACACTGATGTTTCTGCTTCGAATAAATTACACAGTCTACTTCTGACCTTCAGTATTACAAAGAAAAGTTAAACAGACCAAGCCATCCCCCAATAAAGGTTGCCTTGCTACTTCGTTTTACCTCTATCAATATGACTTACCGCATTCTTATTGTACTCAAAGATTACATTTCACTCATCGACTGCTTGTACAGTAATACGAAGGGAATACGATTAAAGATAACGAAAATTCAGAGGGCTAATATATAATTGTGGAGATAGACCTGACAAGCTTATTTTGTAAATAGTTTTTAATATTATTTGTATTTATTTTGTCAATTTCCCACCGCATGTACATTTATCATTAAATGATTGTACCTGTTGTTTAAGTCATTGACCTTGAACACACTTTCCGTTGAGCTACTACATAGCGTGGTATATGCTTGCCGACTAACAAATACATTACTACTCTCGCATTCCTCGTTTTATTTCCATTTGTAATTGAGTTAACGGAAGTCTAAATCAAATACTATCTACATTTATAGACTGTAATCGGAATATATCACATCCTACGTTGGACTATATCGCTAGAGAGTTCGCCAACCTGCTCAGAGTCATCAAGCATTTATAATTGTGGATTTACATTACTGGACCAAATCAGAACACGCAACGTTTGGGCAATTTAAGTAACGTCCCTAATTTTTATTGTATTTGTAACAGTTAACTGTATATATATTTATATTACTATTTATCTTTAGTAACTTTGTTTATACTTTTTGCGTTCATATTTGTCTGGTCCACCACAATTATTTGGTGAGCCTCGTGTTTATCCTAACGGTTATTTTGTTTTTCATTTCATACAATTTACTGGTTTATTTTTTTCTCGTAATGTCCTCTCCCACTAAACTCATAATAACTAACCAGGCATGATCAGGTCATTTGAAACTTGACATGATAAAGTTATGACTGATATTGAACTTTACGTTGTTGACTTGAAGAGGTTTCTTGGTGGTTGATATGGTGCTTCAGGTTATGGAATTGTGTTTTGCTTACCGTACCAACTCAGGTAGAAATACTTCTCATAAGATAGATAACTTGGATGTCATATGGTGCATTTAGAATAGTACTCTGCATTTGAGACTGTGATAGATGTTAATAAACTTATTTGTTACCTAAATAATTGTCTTAATCTAGTATGGTTGCTTGAGTATTTAAATTCCTAACCTACGCTAGTATCACTTTTACTTTCGGCTAGTCTCGTTAGCCAATTCTAACACGGGTTTATGACTAAACGCTCATGCTTCACATCGTACCTGGGAATTTTCGATCAAATTACACAGAGAGGGCTGTCGATGAGAATTCTGCACATCGATTTTAGTAAGGCTTTCGACAGTGTCTCACACAAACTTCTAAAAATTTCTTCATTTAGCGTACGGAATTCCCTTTTATCTTGGCTCAAATCTCTTTTAGAAGAACTTAGCCAAATTTTCCGCTTTGGATCCTGCTAATCTAAGCCTGTGAATTTAATCAGTGGTGTTATACGAGGAAGTGTATTTCGTCCATTACTCTTTCTCCTTTTTATCAATGACGTGTGTTCCTTCTTTCAGTATAGTGAACCTCTCCATTTTGCCGATGACCGAAAATCGATTTATTTGTACTCTTCCGAACCAAAGAAAGCTATATTGCAGCGGTAATCGAAGAAGAAATTAACAAGTTGCACGAATTGACTGTTTCGTTGAATTTGCCACTTAATGTTGACAAAAGTGGATTTATTCACATTGGCTGCTGTATATACCAAACATACACTGAGACCTCTCAACACTGTTCGTGACTTGAATTTGCGATATAACAACAGATTGAACTTTTCCGAGCACATTGCATCTCAAGTATCCTAAGCTAGAAAGCTCATTGGATTCATAATTATATATTTCCATAGTATAGTATAGATTATTATTATTATACAGAAAATGTATCTTACCCATTCTTGAATATCGTATTTTCGTTCACGGTAATTGCAGGCAATAATGGCCTGATTAAACTTGAAGGTGTTCAAAGAAGGTTCACTAAAGCCGTTTTGTGGTTTTCCGACAACAAGGACTATCACCAAAGACGTCAGCAACTAGCATTAGATCCTCTCTGGATCAGGTGTATCAAACTAAGTCTTATCTTTATCTATCGCCTTATTAACGGTATTTCCCACTCTTTGGTATCCACCATCTCACTCTATGATATCATCCCACAATTTACGCAATAAGAAAAATATTCTAACGATTCCGAAAACCTACATTAACTTACACCGGAACGTTTTCGTTACTTGCTACTCAACCATGTGGAACAGACTGTCAGTGAACCTCCGTAGCAGTGAAACTACAACATGGTTCAGAAGTCTCTCTGATGGTTTTCCTTCCGAAAGTGGATTGTAACACCTATTGAATATCAATGTGTTTATTAATGATTTATACAAAAGAGGTCCGTCATCCATCCGATTGACTGAAGGGCAAAGTGTAACCTCCGAAACTTTTCACGTTTATTTTACTTTCCTTATGTTTATTCTAATATATGGAGCCTGCTTATGTTCATATTTATAATTATCACTGTCATTATTATCATGATTGGCTCCGCGACATATTAGATATTCTTCTCGTCTCTTCTTTTTCTTCTCAGCATATTTTATTCCTAAATGTCTAAAGTTCATAACTAAAACCGAATTATCGTATGTTATAATTAAACAAAGTAACTTCTCATATTCATTTTATCTTCACCATATATATATATATATATATATATATATATATATATATATATATATATATATATATATATAACACATAGAAACATATTGGATTATCCTTTGCAATTAATTTTGACTTTAATGACACCATTCTAACTTACAATTGCACAAAAGTCTATACTGTTGTCAAGTTTTACTCTGTATCCTAATACATAAATCTACATGTATTTATCCGAGTGCACTAAAAGATATTTTTTAAATTGTTGGTTTACCTTGGAGGTCGATATCCGTTACACAGTTATTATTATCATGGTTGAAACCTTTCATTATGTGTTCATTTCCTTTGTCTCTTTTTTCCTTCTAAATAAATATTCTTAAGATTCCGAAGTTTGTAATTAAGACAATAACTTTTTTTGCACCTAAACTAACTTCTCAGACACGTTCTATCTTCACCTTGTATATATGACTCATACACATTGATATTTGGTTAACATTTACAATTAATTGAG